CAAAATGGCCGACTGGTGCGTCCGTGCATCCGTCCGTCCGGAGTCATATTTCAGAATCCGTCGGACCGATTCCATTCATTCTTTGTATGTGTCTAGTATTTCATGTGGGGCATATGCACATGCAGTGGTTTAGCGATTCGATTCAAAATGGCCGACTGGCAGGAATCTTTTTTTTGAAAATGTCGTATTTTGGACATGCTTTGTCAGTTTTCATTCAAATGTGGTACATAGACTTTTTGGCCTTACTACTATATTTCCAAGATTTGTGTATCATTTTCATTCGTATTTGGCACATACATCATACATGTATGTTTGTTTAATAATCAGATCACACATTTAACGGGGACTGTGCCATTTTCAATGCACAATAAGTCTGTGTTTAAATGATTACAACTTTACCACCACCGTATAAGCACACTTTTAGAACGACAATTTAACTCTCGGACGCTTTTCTTTTTCATGAAATGCAACTGCGAATAGTAGATATCCCCTTCTGACTGTGAATATACATATCGGAGTAACGACCACGAGAAAGGTCACCCATCTGCGTATACATGAAATGGGTCGTCAGCTCCATTCAATGGTGTTTTTGTCAACGGCACCAACATCCCAGCATACTAGTTTGGTAAGATTAGTATGTTCCAAGTAAATATAATCGCAATAAAAAGGAAGACTTATCTATAATTCCGTCCAACTTTCATTAATAACGTTAACTCATTTTAAAAAGTTTGTATTGTAGAGTGGTTCGAATAATCTAGTATTCGACAATGAATATCGTCTAAACAACGCACATACAATGACAGCTGTCTTGATTTACATATTTTCAATGCTCTCCAATTCACCAAAAATAAAAGTGTATGTTGTATGTGATCGGATTGCAGCTGTGATACTACCTCATACACCCGCATATAATATTTGTAGTTGTTTTTAGTTGTTTGCTCGTGTGTATCGAGAGCGCACAAATGACTCCCCAAGATTCAAAATAAAGAGCGTTCACAGTAAAAATTAGACGTTATACTCAAAATGAAGAATCCATAGGGTATGAAGAAGATTGAAATGTGGACCATTAAACTTTTAACACAAACATACAGTCAACGTACTGTAGCGTAAAGTAGTAAATTAGAACGCCCTTGATTAAAGGATGAATTCTTTTCTTCTGCCATGTTATAAATATGGGGTGCGGCTTGTACGATCCAATCCAGTACACAACAAGTTGACAGTTTCAAATACAGAAAAAATCCTGTAAATAGAAAAAATATACATTTATAAAAAAATATTCGCATTTCTTAATTAAAACATCAAATATTAACAATCATTTTAAATATATAGCGTTCATGTAACACGAATGAATATTGAAGAATGCACAATAACTGAGCTAATAGAAATATCATAACTTCATTTTCCGGGTTTTCTTAAAAAATACTATGAATACATAACATCAAACTGCAAAGGGAACGAATTGTAAACGCTAATTGCATATGCAAATTGTCAATATTTTACATAAAACGCACTTCCCAACATTCCCATAGCGACTCTTCTAACGCAACTGAATACGTAACTAATATTGTAACCACTGCGTGCAATACAACCAACCAATGCCAATAAAATGTAGACAAGTGCTCATGTGAAGGCATAACATAGAACGAGCAATATATGACACTGTAATTACGCGACTTCAAACTATTCAAATATACTACATGCCAAGAAAAACAAAACACATTATGCACAATTCAAGAATACAGTAATTACTTAAAGCGTGCGGGAATTGAGTCCTGAGCGACGATAACAACACGAGCCAAAAACGCAAAGGCTCATGGATAGACGCTTGTTTGTAAACAATGACACGCTACGGCCATGTGACGCATGCGCAGGCGACGACTCCACCCCCCCCCCCGCTTTAACGAATAACGTACGTAATAGTGAGAATGAACAACAGACATGTCACGTGGCAACCATGTGCTCGCACGTCGTTTTGCTAAATCATCAATTATGGAACACAAATGAAAGCTTACCAATTAAAGATTCACATTTATTGATTCGGGATGGGTTGCATTGAAGGAATTACAAGAACATTCACCAAAGGTTGAACACTACTGCTCAAATAAAATTGAAGTGACAATATGGCAATCAAATCACTACTGTCTGAGATGTTTGCAGTTACCATGAACAGTTTTTTATGGTTTCACTCATTTTCTACAACGCATTTCGGCTGTTTTGTTTTCTTGCATCATTTGTACGTTCATGACCTGCATCATGTAGACCTAAGACATTTTTTGAGAACAGTCGTGTATTTTAATGAATAAAGATGACGTCATTAATAATCTATAAATATTTATTTAAAGAACCAATGTATGTCCGTTAACTAAAATACATATGTAGAACGCATGCATATTATGATAAACATCAAAGACGTGTGTCAAAATGGTGAAAAAAGGAAACATCATCTTGGAATTATGTTTATTTTTTTTCAAAAGATTATAATTTTTTGCTCATTCTAATTTGCAAAAAAACACAATATTTTTGAATATTCCGATATCCTTGCTATCTGGTTTTATTGTAATGCACTTTCCTGATATCTGACTTGCTAGAAAAATGACATCACTTATTTGAACATAACAAATGATTCCATTACGAAAATTAAAAAAGAAAGGTATTTAATAATGTATAATTTTATACAAAAAGGTCAGACACATCCGGGCATTTCTTGTTTTGTACCATTTCGATTACCAACGTGTTCTGATTTCTACTGGTACATATAACAACAATACGGATATTTACGTGTAGAATTATATTCTGCGTTGCTGTGACGTCTAAGATTCAAACTGCGCATGTGCATTTGCATATTGTAAGTGTGCATTCACTTCACACTATTTCAACGTACAGGGATTATTTAGCGGCGTCACAAACTAGTCTTTCGTATCGGAGCCCAGCAGACAAATAAAGAAGGTGCATTCTCTAGATTCAGATTCACCTGTAAGTTTGCTATTTCATATAAATATTTGGAGCAAATATTCAAGCCTATTTTTGTACGTGTTTACACACCAGTTTTGAACCCACAGTCTGTGAAAAAGATGAGTGTGATATTTTTAGATACCATGAACTGTTGAACCATTTTCTGAAACGATTTTGTCCACGTAATTTGTAATGCAAGCTTTCTTGTATCATTTGTATAAACGCAAATCACATTATGTAGACTTGAGAACACGTAGTAGTTCACGCTTCACACAAACATCCTAGTGTATCTGAATATATTTTAGTCAATGTATGCAGTATAACCGTATATCAAACATACTGGTAACCGTATTCAGTTATTTTTTGACAAATGTTAACAGTAATTTTGTGCCGAGATTCTAGTTTGTCGTTTATATAATCTTTTTTCTTTGTTTGTAAAACAAACTTGTAATCACGTATATTTTGCCCTCTGCCATACAAAACTGACTAGTTTCTTATTTACGATGATTTGAATACACCGTTTATAAAATTCGCGCACGCTAGCGACAAGACGCATCTGCGACGTAAGCACGGGTCGCTTCTGCTGTAACCTGTTGTCGTGCGTCAAAACAAATACATTTTTAGAGCATTTTTATATTCTAAATTACAAAGATTTAACATCTAAATAGAGTTGTATTTAAGAGACATTGCTTATTATTATTAATAATAAACAATGTACGAAATTTTGACATATAGTCTTTATTCACAAGTTCAAGGCCAGAATATTCGAAAAATAAAAATACTTTACAGAATATTTAAATAAAATCACATATCTCGTTCCTAAGTTTCAATGCATGAAAGATGTATGCAGCCAGTGGTTGTAAATCGCCAGAATTTTGAGAAGTAACAAGATCTATAAATTTATCAAAAGATGGGGTTATATAAAATGTATTGGGTAAGTACGAAGTTCGCAATTCATGGTAATATGGGCAAACCAGGAAAAAGTGAAACTCATTTTCAATTTTATCTATGTCTGCGAATATCAAACATGTTCTAATTTACACAAAAACAATAGTTTCCGTATATATGCAACCAGGTAGGCTTCGCCCCCCCCGATTTGTCTATGTTATATAACATGTTGTACCATTTACGTGGGTATCTGTTACTTGGCATATTGATGATTTTAGCCCAATATTTGATGCATCGTTTTGCGGTGTAAAAGAAAACAGGGTATCTTCCACACTCGTCCAGTATACAATTGCCAGGTAATCGTGTGGAAACACCAAGGAAATATCTGCAAGCAAGGTATTGAATACGTTCCTGACACTTATATTTTTTAAACCACCGAACCATAGGTAAAAATAGGTAAAATCCTGGAATAAAAAAATTTAAAGAATGAATCATAATTTAAAGGACCAATTTTTCTAGTATTTTTTTTTATAATAGCCATAAATGCTTTTTTTAGCTTGTTGTGCTAAAGATTTCGTTGCAGGTATTCGCTGTAACGGACATGATAACAAAAATTCCCAAATATTTGTAATGTGAGACTACCCCCAGCTGTGTGTTTTTAAAATACCACTTTTCAGATTTGGATAGGCGACCCCCCGTGTTGAAAACGATTACTTTTGTATTGTCCAAGTTCACTGTCATTTTCCATTTATCACAATACCCCTCCAGCTAACGAATTAATCTTCGTAGGCCAATGACAGTGTCCGAAAACACCGCAATGTCGTCAGCAAAAAATAAACAAAAGAGTTCAATGAGATCAGGGGAAAGTTCAATATTGACATTATAGAGCACGTTTTCGCTACTTGGTGGGAAATATAATATGCATGAATTACGCGAGTCGACACATTGTTTTTGCATTCAGAAAATATCCAACGTTTATTTGAAAATGAACGTGATATCTGTGTAGAGGGCGCATATCCTTATCACTGCATTTAGAACAGCCTGACATTGTCGCGTAAATTTAGTTGCCATGGCCACGCATGAGTAGTCGTCGTCGGAGGGCACAACATATGTACTAGATAAATGCTGCTTTAGTTCTCTTCTGCGTAGATTACATCATAATGGATCCCATTTATTTAGTTGTTGTTATCTGCTTGGTTATCGAATTCACCGACGTCAACGGCAGGACATCCGAAGATGTTGCTCTGGACATGGAGACACGAGACTTGGGTCTAGGTATTTATTTGATATAATATAATTCCCGATAAATAAAAAAAAAGAATATGTTGGTATTTGAGCTTAGAGTTGTGAGTTCAAACCTAAGCGATTGTGTTGCGCAGAGTGCCTTAACTTCGAATATGGTATTTTCTATTAATATTTGAAAGTGACAGACATTCTAGTCTCTAAAATTAGCTTAAACGTATTTAAATGGCGGGCTGACATTATCCATTTGATCCATATTGGTTGAATTTAGCCTAGAACATCAGAATTGGTGGTCGAAATAATTGGCCAGAAACTACACGTACACCCGCCTGCACACGTGACTACGGAAATCACCAGTATACAACATCTTCCCAAGTGTTAGCCCTGATGAACTAACATATGACCTTAAATATGACTGTACAGTTGAGGAACTCATTACAGATCAATAAAACAAGTTGATATACAATTTATCGCTGACAATCCCGAAGACTCACAGACACACTTCACTCGACGCATGCTCAGAGGTCGACATACAGCACAGTTCAACATTACATCGTTGAGGGCGCACGATTCAAAGATAACACAGTCACGGCTATAAACTATCAAGCAATATATGTTTAGCGCCTTGAAATTAGATCATAGAGTGTCACTACGATTTTTACATGACGCAAGGACAAATGGCTGCTAGATTTAAAATATATTATTTAATATTTCTTCACCATAACCACGAATTCTTAACGTAGAAACAAAAACTTAGTTTAAAATCCAAAATGTTTCTTTACAATATCATATACGGGCTTATCTATACAAGTAGTGCCAACATTTTAGACAAATTAAATAGACGAGCGCTCTCGCGAGAAAGCATTTGTATAACGTAATATGACGTAATTGAGTGGACGCCCTGTCGTTCAAATCCGACAATTTTGTTTGGTTAAGTGGCCGTTCGTCGTTTAGGATATGGTAAATCTCCCATTGACGGGCAGACAAATACAGATCAGAACAAATTTGACAATGTGAAGAATTTTCTGTCACCTATGTACGTGACAGAAGCGTGTGTCGATAGAGGGCGCAATAACCATAAATTAGCACGCGCTAACACTTGTGGAACAACAATAGAATATACTTTATGCTTCAAACAGCACAAGACAGTTGCTGATGGCAGTTTAAGTACAATAATATGTACTCTAGCTAAATGATATGATATGATATTGTATGTGTTCATTTCACCAAACAGCTCAGGTCATGACAGCGCGGATGGATACAACAGTCGAACCCTGTGTAGATTTCTACCAGTTTACATGTGGTAACTGGATTGAGTCACATGATATACCTGCAAGCCAATCCAGATTCGACATGTTTAAGCAGTTGAAGTTGAACGTCAGTAAAACGATAATGGGTAAATGTACTGCGTTTTTATCAGATACATGTACTGCTTTGTAATTGCTTGCTGTCACAAACGATCTGAATATTCGTACATTCATTTTTGCATGCATAATTTTAAATCGAATTGGTTTCCTAATTTCATGAATTAACTAGCTATATGTCTTGATGTTCGTTGACCTGATTAAACGAAAATGGTGAACAGTGTGAATTCATCTATTTGGAAATTTAACAACTACGTTCACACTTACGAAGTCATGCCCAACTTATAAGTCGTGTCCAATAGGCAGTTGATCAAACTTCAAATTAACGGCAATATAATTTTTTTTTGTTCAACGCTGTTCTACATTCAGTAACTCGAACTGTAATCACCATTCAACAGAACCTCGAACTTTAATTGACATTTAACCGAACAGAGTAACAGGCATCATATGTTTTGTTGTTACTTAAAGCGTGGTTCTGCAATCCCCGGGATTGCACCATGGGCGTGCGTCATTGGAAATGCAGTTTGCATGACCACCCAGTTGTTAACTTGGCCCATAGTAGTTATCATTTCAACTTGAGGTATTGATTCCGTGTGCTAACATCTTACGATACGCTATTATCTGTTTTGAAAAGACTAATTCAACCTACCTACTCAAGAAAGCCACTCAATCTATTGAATACAGTTTTCTGGATTTGTTTCGCGCGTGGTCGACAGTGAAACACTATCCATGTAAACTAATAGAGTTATAGTATTGCTATGATTTTACATTTGTTTCCAACAAATAACATTTCTGGAACACACGCCGTGAAACCTGTCCAACGACAAATTATGCAACTACTGCTATTATAGTTGTCTCTTCTGTTGAGCGTCCTCTCCCAGAATAAAATAATGCATGCACGTACGTCAATGAACTTGAACTTTTAGTTGTTTTATTGCCGTTCAGAGGCGGTGGCACGAAATTGTGCATGGGGCGGGTTTATCTGCTCACGATCCCTCGCGAAAAAGGCACGACCTTACTAGATGGGTCCGGGGCATGTTCTCTCTGAACAAATTTAAATCTAGACCCTCTGAAACACTATTTCCTGTATTTTGAGGGACAACTTTTGATGACACAAAGAGTTTCAGCTTCATGGGAGGAGCGACGCCCTCGAACATTTTTCAGGGGCGACCGCCCCTCTGTCCCCCCACCCGCCACTGCTGTTTAAATTACGGTTTCTATTATGGTACTTGTTCTACCAACAACGCAATAAAAAAATCAAAACAACACGACAATTTCGATTTCAACACGCCATTAGTTTTCGCACAATAAATGATCTCACAAAACGTTTAAAGACAAAACGCCCCACCAACAGACGACTTGTGAAATTCGAACAAACATCAAATCTAAATTAAAGTTTGAGTTACTACACACATGTGGACGTTAAATAACAAAAACATATGATACCCGTAACTCGAAGTATGATTGAATGTTGATTGAACATCGTGTTATTATCCGGGCATGGTTTAGACAAAATGGACAGTTTTTTTTTAAAGAAATGAACATGGTCATATTTGTAAGTCCATGTTTGTAACTCTGTGTTCCTAACTCGAAAAATACACCATCTGCTTGTGTATATTACTTTAATTCTGGTTTGACGTACGAGAACGTCACACAGGTCAGTGAACTTTAAACCAACGTCCATGGCGGCCATTGTGGGATAAGTTAGGAAAGTAAAAAAACAATCTCTGCACTTTTTGAAATTACATAAATCATAGCTCCCATTATCTCAAGAACTTATTCCCTTATACAACTCCTTAATTCTACCACACATTACATATTGCCTCGAAATCTGGGGTAATAAATATGTTACTCTACTACAACCAATATATCTCTTACAGAAAAAATTGTACGCCTCATCATTTTCTCTGATTCGTAATCCCATGCTGCTCCTCTTTTTCAAAAACTAAGAATACTAGACATTTTTTCACTCTGCAAGTTACAAACCTGTTTATTTGAGACATATATTTAAAGCAATACTTCAATTGTAATTTTTTTTTCATTCTTTATTTGGAGATTTGTGTGATCAAAGTATGAAATTATATATACAAGGGTTACGGACTCGACTAGTTCTGATGAACTATATCTGTAATCCCCACCAAAAAAAGAAAGTTCTTTAAGTAGAAAATTGTTTATTTATTTATTTATTTATTTATTTATTTATTTATTTATTTATTTATTTATTTATTTATTTATTTATTTATTTATTTATTTATTTATTTATTTATTTATTTATTTATTTATTTATTACCTGTACAATTGCTACTTTAATCTTGTTTTATTTTTGGTGAATTAAATTTTATTAATTTACTAGGCTGTCTCTCTGAGATATACTAGCAATCAACGACCCAATTTATGTAGACGTAGTAAAACCATAATTACCAAATCAAGGAAAAAGAAGTGTAATATTACAGCTTACATATCTGCCAAATCTCAGGTTATTTCACATTTATTGAATAGCAGAATAATTCGAATTATCGGTAAATGTCCTAAAACTAACCGCGTGATTGCACCCCTTTACCTGCCGGCAATAGACAATAGAGGTCTAGCTATTGTGATAAAAACAATTGATCCAACTTTAACATTATGTGAAAAAGTGAACCTCAAATGCACATCTCTGTAAACTAACTTAACATTGTCTTAATTTCCAGATAGTGTAGAAAAAACAATCACAGATAACGATATAAAACCAATTGTGGACGCCAAAAATTACTATCAATCATGTATTGACCTTGGTAAGTTGTAACGATGTGTTTCATTGGATGCCGTAATAAATCATGTGATTCTGCTTTAATATTGGTCTTGATAGGGGACAACAATGCATGGCATTATATGCCACACTACCATCATATTTAGGATCACAGATCTTATTATTAACACCAGTGAAATATTAAAATGACGCCACTGTGACTTACATTAAATAGACGGAATAGACAACGTCGGTAAGGCTCCATTGACAAGATTGCTGGAGTCTCTTGGTGGATGGCCGGTGCTGGGCGACAACCCTGGTGGTAGATGGAATGCCTCCCACTATAAACTAGAATCTCTGTTGTCTCTGATGTTACGAGAAATTGGCAATAGCTTACTATTTTCTACCCATGTCAGTACCGAAACCATGCAGCCATCAAGGCGCGTAATTCAGGTAATTAACGAGTGTACATTCTAACGTAGGCTATAGGGTGTTTTTAACCAAAATACACTTAAAGTCGCACGCAAATTGGATCAACTTTAAACACATTTTATTAAATTGTGAATAATTGTAACAACGCTTTTGTTTTCAATTCATTGTCTAGTTCCGCCAGGCACATTTACCGAGTTTTCATTTGGACCAATCAAATACAATCACTGGAAATAAGGTAAATAATTAATTAGACAAAACTATGACAAAAACAAATACAGCGAACCAATACATTTTACGGCACACCAAGCCGTTATGGAAATGTTGTTATGGAAACCAACATCGACGCGTAAACAGAACTGTCGATTATATCTATCAGTGTGTGATCTCCGAATACAGATTATTTCCTGTTAGCTGATCTTGTATATCGAGCGTGCGTAATGTAGAGTAGGATTCGCAGGGATTATCTGCGAATTAGCTGATAACCTCGAACTGTCTCTTTCTACTTGCTATAAAAATCGACCCGTACTTTTGTTGACAAGAAACAGCAATTTGTTTTTTTTCGGTCTAATGTGTTCATGTTTTTTTGTAGTTTCTCAAAGCATATTTTGATTTTATGCACAATGTATCACTTACGATGGGAGCCGACGAAAATGAAGCTGACATGCAACTGCGAGAACTTATTGAATTTGAAATAGCGTTAGTTAACGTAAGTAATATACGTATTTAGTGATTGTGACGAGATATTAAAAAAGTCTGTCATATTCATATAAAATACAAGCACAATTTCGATTTCTCTAAAATATATTTTATTAGTTGTATGCATACTACGTTCAATATTTAACTCCCGACAAACAAAAAACCGTCTTCTTCATCTTTATGAATTTCAATGGAAGATGAATCGAACCAACCAACCAATCAACGAACATTCTATTGTCTATATTTTGAAATTTATATAAAAATATTTATAAAGATGAAGGAAAATGATTTGATGTGCCAAGTGTATATTACATTTTTGTCATTCTAGTTTACTACGCCCGACGAAGATTTACATGTCGTGAGAGGAATGACTTTACTTGAGCTTCAAGAAAAAATACCAGAGGTACTCCTCATTCATCTATCGTATTTACAAATGCCTGATATTTAGTGCACCCTCTGAACCTTATGGCGCACTGATGCATCATGGGTCAGCATGCGTACTCTGCTGAAATCACATCCGTACTATTGGTTGTGACAATATTATTAAATATCATGATACATATAGATGGACCATATTTTCCTTGTATATTATTTGTTCATGTCATCCTGAGAACACTTTGAAGGTTTTGATTCCCCGACACAAGTGAAGTGAATACAGTGTAAGCTAATCACCTATGTAATGATGCATCAATGTGCAAAACACCGTGATGCGTACTAACTTTATACTCATATATTTTTATATTTTAATGGAAATCTATTTCTCTGTGATCAATATTGTTGCGTCATCACATGATTACACACGCTCTACAATATTGCGACGTCAACAAGATTCACACGTTTCACAGTATTGTGACGTCATCATGATTCACACACTACAATGTTGTGAAGTCATCATGATTCACATACTCTACAACATTGCGACGTCATCATGATTCAGAAGCTCTACAATATTGTGACGTCATCATGATTCCCACGCTCTACAATATAGCGACGTCATCATGATTCACAAGTTCTACAATATTGTGGCGTCATCACGATTCACAAGCTCTACAATATTGTGAGGTCATCACGATTCCCATCCTCTACAATATTGTGCCGTCGTATGGTTCACACGCTCTTCGCTTCACAACATTGCGACGTCATTCGATTCCCATGCTCTGCAATATTGCGACGTTATTATATGAATTACACGCTTTACAGCATTGTGAAGTCATCACCGTTTACATAGTAGAAATAATGCGACGTCATATGATTTACAGGCTTTACAATATCGTGACGTCATATAATTCACATGCTCTTCAATATTGCGATGTCATCATGTTTTACACGTTTTAAAACATTGTGACGTCATCATATAATTTATACGATCTACAGTTGCAAAGTAAGCCTAATTTACACGCTTTACAACGGTGTGATATCATCATATTATCTATAAGTAATATACAATCCATGCTATGTATTATTTACAAGCTCGATAATATTGTGACGTCATATGATTCACACACTCTACTATAGTGTGACGTCATGTTATTTACAAGCAATGTACAAGCTATGCTATGAATTATTTACAAGCTCGATAATATTGTGACGTCATATGATTCACACACGCTACTATAGTGTGACGTCGTCATGTTATTTACAAGCAATGTACAAGCCATGCTATGAATTATTTACAAGCTCGATAATATTGACGACATATGATTTACGCACGCTAAAATAGTGTGACGTCATATGATTTACGCACGCTATAATAGTGTGCCGTCGTCATATAATTTACGCTCGCTATAATAGTGTGACGTCGTCATATGATTTACGCACGCTATAATAGTGTGACGTCGACGTCGTCATATAATTTACACACGCTACAATAGTGTGACGTCGTCATATGATTTACACACGCTATAATATTGTGACATCGTCAGATGATTTACACACGCTATAAGTGTGACGTCGTCATATGATTTACGCACGCTACAATAGTGTGACCTCGTCATATGTTTTACACGCGCTACAGTAGTGTGACGTCGTCATATGATTTACGCGTTTTACTATATTGTGACGTCGTCATATGATTTACGCGTTTTACTATATTGTGACGTCGTCATATGATTTACACGCGCTACAATAGTGTGACGTTGTCATATGATTTACGCACGCTACAATAGTGTGACGTCGTCATACGATTTACGCACGCTACAATAGTGTGACGTCGTCATATGATTTACGTGTTTTACTATATTGTGACGTCGTCATATGATTTGCGCGTTTTACTATAGTGTGACGTCGTCATATGATTTACGCGTTTTACTATATTGTGACGTCGTCATATGATTTACGCACGCTACAATAGTGTGGCGTCGTCATATGATTTACGCACGCTACAATAGTGTGGCGTCGTCATATGATTTACGCACGCTACAATAGTGTGGCGTCGTCATATGATTTACGCACGCTATAATAGTGTGGCGTCGTCATATGATTTACACACGCTACAATAGTGTGACGTCGTCATATGATTTACTCGTTTTACTATATTGTGACAATATACAATATTGCAACTTCACGATTCACACATAAATTCAGTCAATATTGTTACCATTGGATATTATCATCAATTTGGACTGATCACATAGGGAGAAAACAACTAGAAATGTTGACTGATACTTCAATATCACGAATTAGTATGAAAACACTGTTTGTAAAATTGTTCTAAAAATAACGATTCTTAAAAAAATATTTATACAAACCTTTATGATAATTATAAATAACGTACAACTCTTTTTAATTTATTCACTAAATGTATCAGTTTGATTGGAAAGAATACCTGAATGGCACCCAATTTGTTATAGTGAACGATACGGAAAAAGTGAATGTATACGACTTGCATTACCTGGAGAAAGCCATGCGATTTGCCCTAAACACTGATGCCAGGTAATTTAATGAAAAATATGAACACTATAAAGTGGTTGAGATTAGACAATTCTATAATTTTTTACCAACGTTTGCGAATACATAAATAGCGTTATATGGTCGTGACATCAAACATTTTGTGTTATTTTGTGTTAAAACGTTTATTACTATTAAATGTAGATGAGTGT